TTGTCCATGTTATATTTAACAGAAAAACTAACAGTATTAATCATATATGGGCCATTGGTGTGCTAAGTTTGATAAAAAAAAAACATTCTTGCAAAAAAAATCATAAAGACTATTTGAGATACAATGTTAAAACCATAAGGACTATTTGTGAAATTTGATAAATATTTTATAATATACTAAAAAACAAAAATGTTACGTTACAGTAACTGCATAAAAAATCCAATAAATATAATTTATAAAAACATAAACCAACTAGATCGGGTGCCACCATCTCCTAGAATATATATATATATATATATATATATATATATATATATATATATATATATAAAAGATTTAAAGGGCTTAGGACTAATAATTCGTTTTGTTTCTTTTTCCTTGTTTGGATGTGGGCTTAGAATAGAATTATTTGTCCGAAGGTCATTTCAATTTTATATATATATATATATATATATATATATATATATATATATATATATATATATTATATATAATATAGTTTATAAAAACATAAACCAACTAGATCGGGTACCACCATCTCCTAGAATATATATATATATATATATATATATATATATATATATATTATATATATATATATATATAAAAGATTTAAAGGGCTTAGGACTAATAATTCGCTTTGTTTCATTTTCCTTGTTTGGATGTGGGCTTAGGGTAAAGTTATTTGTCCGAAGGTCATTTCAATTTTAAATATATAATATATATATAGATATATCTATATATATATATCTATATATATATATATATATATATATATATATATATATAAAAGTTATTTCAATCAAATTCATTACCCTTTGTAACATGCCGAACAAATGGGGTATTTTCATGAATATTAACATATCAAACAGAACACACATGTAAATTATAATAGGTATAATTTATGGAACTCTCATACTATTTTTCACTAATCAGTTATATAAAGTTTAACGGTATACTCTCGTACAAATACTTTACATTCAAGTGTACTAGAAAAGGATCATACTATCAATTCATTTATTTTAAAATGACTTTTTATCATTATTATATATGTAATCGTTAATATGCTTTTTGTGAGACAATGTTCAGTTGCTTATTCATTTAGGCAATACTATTAAAGTCCTGATGTTATAACCAGAATCTCCAGACGGAGAGCGAAACAAATGTGTATAGATGTATACGGGATTGACAATCCCGCACTCAGACTGTTCGCTACAGTTGGGCTGGTATGCCTATGATTGACAAATGTCGGTAACAGTTCCGACGCCTACAAAACGTCATATCAAACCATCTAGTCATAGCATGGTTATAATAACTCACAAAAAGATACGAACAAATACAATTAGTGTATAATTAATTAAACCAAAGAGTACGAATACAAAGTGCTGGTTTTACAATAATACGATTTACAGTATTACATTACAATTTACAATTACAGCTGGTGGAGCCAGACATACTCACTTTTACAGGGTTTTCAAAGAGTACAATTACAGTTGTTGGAAAACATAAACAATATAGAAAACATTCTTTTTATGGTTTTATGGTATTAAAACTACTTTTCAGTTATATTAGAAAATATTGGATTTTCTGGAACAATAAACATGATTACTATTTCAAGAAACAAACAACAAACTTCTAAACATAAATACTTCTGCACTCACCAACTTAAATGTTGATACTCTCTTTTCAAAACACTTGTACTCTCAGGGAACCAGTAGACAGGTACATCCCGAGATTTTTGAGAAGACGGAGCAGTATAGAGTCATGTCTTCTATCTTTTGTTATATAATTTTTGATGTCATATATACAATGATTGAATACATATGTAAAACTTATACTTTATTAATGCAATGGTTGTTGTACTTTGATTACTATGATGCATGTGTTGTGATACTTAACATGAAGTCATCCACCCCTGGACGTTTCCGCCGCTCCGGTTTTGGGGTGTGACACAGTTACTCTAGGTTAGCGGGGAAAAATGACTTAATAGGGTACTATATTTATCATTTTGTACATATTTAGTCCTTAATATTATTGTACACATTTACTCCTTAATATTTTTTTGTTTCGAAATAGGGATAATGACACTGTAGCAAATGAAAGTTTTGACATTTGGCTAATTTGGTCATTAAAGTTTTTTTTTTTGGTACATTAGACCACTAAACTCGTATATGACCTATCAATTTAGTCATTTTCCATACTTTTAAATGGTTTCCCAGTTGACATTTTATATGTGTTAATTAATATTTATTTTTTGGCTAATCTGATGCCACGTGAGATATGCTACGTCAATAAATGATATACGATGCTTAAAACCTATCGTCTTCAGCTATTGAACTTCATTCGTCTTCATTATTCAGTTATAAACGAAACTAATTTAGGGTTTGTGAAGCATTTTTTTTGATCGAGCTGAAGAACCAAAGAAGTCGCAGCAATGGCACAATCGGAACCTAATGGAGTGTTTGCGATGGTGGAACTCAACTACCTAGGGGTATTTAATCGAAATCCTTTCTCTTACATTGGTGGTGTGAAAACCATGTTCACTGATGTCGACTTTTCTTCTATGACTTATTTTGAGTTTGTAACCTTATGCGAACATTTCATGCATGAAGAGTGTAAAAAGTTATACTGCTGTGAACTAAGCAATTCCCTGATGGAAGGTCTTAATCCCATTTCCGATGATGTGGAACATGCTGCTTTTATTTTTGATGCTTATGCAACAGATGGTGTAATTTCAGTTTATGTGGATCATATTGGGGTTGGTGTTGATGGGCGGTTTGATGATGATGAACGTGAGTCTTGTATTGATGGTGAAAATGAAGATAACATAGATGAACTTAGCAATATTGCCTTTGAATTTAATGAGGACGTAGTGCATATGAATAGGACATCAAATGATCCTTTCTTGAGTAAGTTATGTGTTGATGAGGAGGAGGATAACAACATTATAGATGATGATAATGGGAGAGAATTTGAACCTAAAATCCAAACTCATTCCATATTCAATGAGCTATTACACTGGAAAAAATAAAAACCAATTCTAGGAATGAGATTTAAGGGTCCAAGGCAAGTAAAATCAATGTTGTGCAACTATGCTGTGGCTAATGGATAACAATTGTGTTTTGAAAAAAAGATAGGAAAAGACTTTTGGTGAGGTGTAGCAAGGGTGCTTGCATATTTAGATTATGGGTTTCTTGGATGAGTGATGAAGAGAGTTTCCAAATCAAGTCACTAAAAGTTGATCATAATTGTGCTAGGAACTTCAAGTTTGGATCACTGGTGACATATACATGGATTGGGAGTCACTGTACCAAAGAGATTGTACATAGTCATAAAATGAGTGTAAGGAAGCTTAGGGTAAAGGTAATGACCAAGTTAGGTATCTAAGTTAGTATGGGCAAATGTAGGAGAGCAAAGAAGTATGCACTAAAATCTTGTTGAAGGTAGCCTTGTTGAACATTATGGTAAGCTATGGTCATATGGTCATGAGATTTTAAGGACAAATCATGGGTCAACTGTGAAACTATATGTGGAGGATGGTCCATATGGAAAGAAATATTTTAGCAATACTATGTTTGTTTTCAAGGAGTTAAACAAGGTTGGATTGAAGGGTGTAGAAGGATAATAGGTCTTGATGGATGTTTTCTGAAAGGTGTTTGTAAGGGGGAATTGCTTTGTGCTATTGGGAGGGATGCAAATGACAAGATATATCCTATTGCTTGGGCAGTGGTTAGTGTGGAGAACGAGCATAATTGTAAGTGGTTTTTAGAGCTTCTCATTGATGATCTAAACTTGAATTAGGCAATGGATTCAATTTAATGTCAGACCAACATAAGGTTAGTATTTTACATAGTAATTCATGTATATTTATTTTATACTATTTGATTTAAACTTTTTTTATTAATACAGGGTTTGATAGAGGCTGTTAAAGAGTTGCTTTCATATGTAGAGCATAGGCAGTGTGTTAGACTTATTTGCCAGAATTTGCAGAAGAGATTCACTAGTGCCATATATATCATACCTTGTTTTGGAGATCCTCTAAAGCCACAACTGAGCATTCTTTTAAAGTTTTGATGAAGGAAATTGAGACATTGAACCTAGATTCCCATCAATATCTCATGGAGAAAGATCCTAAAACATGGTCAAGAGCTTTCTTTCAAGCTGGAAGGTGTTGTGATGCAGTTGAAAATGGCTTCTCTGAAAGTTTTAATGCTGTAATAGTAGATGCTAGGAAGAAGCCCATAATAACCATGTTAGAGGAGTTAAGATTATACATGATGGAAAGATTGTACAACATGAAATTAAAGGGACATCAATTAGAAAATCATATTTGTCCAGAGATAAGGGATAAGGCGAATTTTCTTAAAAAATTCAGAGGCATTATCAGGTACTACCTAGTGGATTAAACCAGTTTGAGGTTAGGGGAGCAACATATGCATATGAGGTGGACTTAGAAAGGAAAACATGTTCATGTAGGTTGTGGAAATTGAATGGATATGGATGTGCACATTCTGTAGCTAGCATATCCTATCTTAATAGGGATGTAGAAGCCTATGTAGAAAACATGTATAACACCACCACATTTTGGAAGGCATACAGTTACATAATTGCCCCCATGAATGGTAGTGGCATATGGCCAGAGACAAATTATGCTCTACCATTGCCTCCTATTAATAGAAGGATGCCTGGTAGGCCAGCTACTAAGAGGACGAAATCCACTACTGAGAATACAGGAAAACACATGGTTTCTAAGGTTGGAAAAAAATTAGATGTAGTATTTGCAAGGAGATAGGTCACACCAAGGCCACTTGTCCACAGAGAAGGCCCCAAAAGTTAAATGTGAGATAACAGAAGAAACAAAAAGTTTGTGTGAAGCAAAATGCAGGATAGGTAAAACCATTTAAAATTTAAATTTATTTACATATGATTTGCCACTAACATTATTATATCATGCCATATAGGGTAGTAGAAGCGAACCTCAACAACACGAAGAGGTTGAAATGACTCCAATTGAGATGGATACTACTCAAAATGATATGCAAGTTACTCCTAATGATGTTGAATCCAACAGTACAGGGGATTTTAGTCAGTGTATGCAAGTTACTCCACCTAGAAGTTATGAAGGTGATGAGGGTGTTGTGGGTGAGGAAGCTGAGGAGGGTGGTAATGTTCAAGATGATGAGGTTTTTCTTAATGTCCAAGTTGTTGATAATGTTCAAATTCAGGAGGTTGTTCCTATTATCCAGGTTCAGCAGGTAAGGGTTAGACCAATTTCAAAGATTTTGAAGAGGATAAGGAGAAGAAAGTCAGAGAGAATCTTAAATCTGGAATTAGGCAAGAGAATTGGTGGTGTTGATGATCCAGGAAATTCTAAGGTAAAAGATCTTCTAATTGATTAGTGTTGAATTTGTCTTTGTGTTATTTGGATTTAAAGTATGTGTATTAGGATGATGGTAATTTGGATTTAAAGTATGTGTATTAGGATGATGGTTAGTTGGATTTAATGTGTGTGTATCTTGATTGTTGTTTGAATCTAAGGTAATTATGTTTGTTAAATACATGTGATATGATCAGGGTATTTTGGTCATTTATGAATGCATGTTGCTATTTTAAGTTAACTCATGACATAAAAGGGTATTTTGGTCATTTATGAATGCATGTTGCTTTTTTAAGTTAACTCATGACATAAAAGGGTATTTTGGTCATTTATGAATGCATGTTGCTTTTTTAAGTTAACTCATGACATAAAAGGGTATTTTGGTCATTTATGAATGCATGTTGCTTTTTAAGTTAACTCATGACATAAAAGGGTATTTTCGTCATTTATGAATGCATGTTTCTTTTTTAAGTTAACTCATGACATAAAAGGGTATTTTCGTCATTTATGAATGCATGTTGCTAAGTAAACTCATGACATAAAAGGGTATTTTTGTCACTTATGAATTCATGTTGCCTTTTTAAGTAAACTCATGACATAAAAGGGTATTTTGGTCACTTAAGAAAGTATGTTGCCTTTTTAAGTAAAATCATAACATAAAAGGGTATTTTGGTCACTAATGAATATATGTTGCCTTTTTAAGTAAACTGTTGACATGAAATGATATTTTGGTCACTTATGAAAGTATGTTGCCTTTTTAAGTAAACTAATGACATATGGCTTTGAATATTTCCGCATGGAAAAATTTGGAATAATGTGCATGCATGTGAATATGTTATATGGTCCCGAATATGGTTCTATAATGGGTTTAAAGGTCCCATTTTTCGATTATAAAAACATCCACTGACTAGTAACTACAAATAGTCCCCATACATAGTGTACTTCCACATGAACAACTTTCTACTTTATTACCAATATAATACCATGCATAACAACCAATTTAATTAAATATAATTGTTGGGAATACGAGCCATGCATATGTTTCAATAACATCAACATTTTCAACATCTGATTATACAAAATGCCCTACAATTGGGACTTTCAATCTTTTTTTACAATAGTTATCAAATGCCCTTTCATTAGGGACTTACCAGCTTACAACATCAAAACATCAAGGTTGAAACCCTCAAATTATAAATAAAAGCAGCTTCCAAACATACAAAATGCCCATCATTACCAACTTTCTAGTCTGCCTTTACAAAAAACACAAAAGCATACACCAACCACCCTAACTAACTACACTCACCCCCTAACTTCAAAACACAAAAGACCAAGCAAGCAAACAACAATGAAACTATCATACTGTACCTGCCTATTGCCTTCCTTGAATCAGAAACATATTTCTCACTCTTTGTCACCTTAGACTGAACCTGTGACATTAGAAACTCCACTTCAACAATCCTCATCCTCAAATTGTTCATCTCAGACATATCTTCTTTAACATTCGGTTTTCGCTTCAGAGAATACAGAAGGTTTTTGTAGTACCCTTCTTCCTGTTCTTTGTCTTTCCATTCAAAGAAGCTACATTTCTTCAACCTAGTCTGTAAAAAGCCAATCCATCAATAAATGAAAATGCTTTGATTTGGATAGTAAATAAAGATTAAGGAAATCAGCTACCTTTAATGTACTAACGAAATGGGTTTGGTTCACAATCACAAATATTCGTCAAGAAGAAAATAAAATTAGGGCTTTTTTTCTTTTCACAATACAAATCTACCATGATCGTCTTTACACGAAGATACACCACAGTCAAACCCTAAAAAATAAATACTACGATAACATGATCAGGATTATCGGGACCTACCAAATTGTTTTGAAAATTCCAGAAATGCCTCCCATGGTTTGTTATCTTCCAACACGTTCGTGCTTTAGCTGGAACGCCGCAATCATAAAGCTTTACCCTTTTACGCGACTGAACACGAGCCACTTGTAGCTGATTCCTTGAAGTGGATGAGCTCGAAGACATTGTTCTTGAGGATGGAAAGAGTCGGTGGAAAGGATTTGAGTTTTCATAAAAGGGTAATAAACACCTAAATGATGGTCTGATTGAGGGTTTCAATTAATAAGGGTTGTTGGACAACTCAGCTTCTTTGACACATCAGTATCCCACGTAAGCTTATTGGACACATCAGCGTGCCACATAAGCATTGTAACCGGTAAACCGTCTAATTTTTTAGATAATGGTGTAATTAAAAAGTAAAAATGGAGTTTAGTGGTCTAATATATATATATATATATATATATATATATATATATATATATATATATATATATAATTTATTTTCTAGGAGATGGTGGTACCGGATCTAGTTGGTCTATGTTTTTATAAACCATATTTATTGGATTTTTTATGCAGAACATTTTTGTTTTTTAGTATATTATAAAATATTGATCAAATTTCACAAATAGTCCTTATGGTTTTAACATTGTATCTCAAATAGTCTTTATGATTTTTTTTGCAAGAATGATTTATTTATTTATTTATCAAACTTAGCACACCAATGGCCCATATATGACTAATACTGTTAGTTTTTCTGTTAAATATAACATGGACACACCATATTACCTGCCACCATCGTTGGAGCAATCTTCGTCACCATCTCCTTCACCGGAACCGCCATCGCCGAAGCAATCTTTTCCAAAAGTTGGAACCACAAAGAATAGAAATAAAATGTGTGTGTGTGTGTGTGTTGTTCATGAAATAATTTTTATTTGTATTCTTCAGCCTAAGAAGTGAAGATCTGAGGAGATTTTTGTAGAAATATGTGTTAATACCTAAGTTCACATTCTTGATTTTTAAGAAGCCCACTATTCTAAAAATCGGAAATCGAAACCTAAATTCAAAAAACCATTATAGAAATTGATTTTAGAAATATACCATCAAAAAAGCCTAGATTTCAAGAACTCATACATGTATGCAAGCTTGTTATAGATCATGCTCAAGAAACCCATATGAATATGAACAAATAGGTGAAGATGAACACATGCAACTTCGAATCTGTAAAACCCTATAAATGTCGATATAGGGTTATATGGATTTTAAGATCTTGAATATCCTAGAAAAATCGATAAATTCCGTAAAAATATCAGAATTGTGTTCATCTTCCCAAGGCCAATCTGAATCATCCCCTCTACAAGGTCAACCCGACATGGAGATGGTAGGGCAACCAGAGTGTGCGTAGTTGGATTCCATCATGACTGACGACAATGATACATGATCTTAGCATTTGCGGTGTCGATTTCCAGATCCGGAGAGGGTGGTAGTAGAAGGTGGAAAGCGGATGGTGGAAGGTAGTGGGAGTATATGGTGGTGGTGAAATGAGAGACATGGGTATATATATATATATATATATATATATATATATATATATATATATATATATATATATTATATATAGAGAGAGAGAGAGAGAGAGAGAGAGAGAGAGAGAAAGAGAGAGAGAAGAAAGAAAGCTGTTTTTTTAATTGTGAGATTAAAAGGATAAAAAGGAAATTCCATAGGGGCTTAACTAGAAAAATTTAACACGGTTAATCAAAAGAACCGATGGTGAAACAAAATTCAAACTAAAAGGACTAGTGTTGTAACGAGATCCATACTTTAAGGACCATTCGTGCAAGAAAAGTTTCATAATGACTGTTTCCATTAAGGACAATTTTAAAACCATAAGGACCATTTTTGAAATTTTGTCTAGTATCTATCAGGTTTTCTAAATATCTATTTTTTCTAGGTTTGTTAAGCATCTATTTGTTCCATAGTACTAATTACAATATATTACATTTTTGATATACATGCTTTGCTTGAAACAAGGTAAACAATATATTACATCGTTGGAAATTTGAGGGTTGAATTAGCATTAAGCTGGGAAAATACAATGCCCAAAATGGACAAAGTAAGACAAAACACAACCATCTTTTAGAAATCACGGTCGTGTTTTGGTGTAGAGGTCCTTAAAAATGTATTAAAATTGTCTAAATGAACCAGTCTGTTATCTTAAGTATACTAGACCAAAACACGACTGTTTTTTGGAAACATGATTGCATTTTTGGGTTCAAAGTATTAAAAACATTAATAAAGTGGGTAAGTCCGTTCCTAGACTCCCATAAACACTTCCACCACCTTTTATGTGCTCTTTAAGAAGGGGAAAATGTTTCTAGAGGTCCCTAACATCCACTTGAAGAAATTTGAGTATAAATCAAGTAGAATTCATAGGTAAATCAATCTTTACTTGAAACAAGGTAAACTCCTATATTCTTTCATGATTCTTAGTTGTGATAGTAAAAAGGGTTTGTGAACCCTAACTTGTATATGTCCTTGTATGCTAAAAATCTTGATAGATAACGACAAGTAGATGAGTAATTATCTGTTTTCTTGTTTAAAATCTTCCAAAACAAAGTATGAAAGTATTGTTATGATGTATTTGGAAGTAATGACTTAAACCCTAATTTAGGGGTAAGATATTGGAAATATAGTTTTATTATTTATTTTTGATACTAAACCATGATATGTTTATTTACCAGTTTTGGAGTCAAAAGATGATAATGAACTATAAGAATTAGGAACTTATTTGTAACACTCGATGTAAGGTACTTTTCCTATTGACCCTTGGTATGTAAATAATTTGCAAGTTTGGTCCATATGGGTGTTAAGTGAATGTTGAGGGGGGGGGGTGTACATTGGGTGTACCCTATTTAAGCATCATTATGACCAATGATCCTCATTTCTCAGCCTCCACTACCCTTTGAGCCTCACTTCGAAACCCTAATCCCTCTAGAGAACATTTGACCTCTTTGTGTGTGTTTTAGTATGTGTTGGTGAACCTTGAGGAATAAGGAGCTTAAAGAAGGAGCTTTGTCCAAGGTAGAGCATGTAGATCCAAATTCCACTCATTATTTCCAGCTTCATTGAGGTATAAAGCTTGGAACTTTCTCATTGTATGCTAAGATCAAGTTCTATGGACTTCT